ACGAGGAAGCGGTAGCTCGACCTCGTCCTCAGGGAAAGGAAACACAACATGCGCCTGGGATCGCATGAAAGACTATCCAAAACAACATTTCGCAGTGGTGAGTGGAAATCTGCGTTGTAATGCTTGTAGTAAGACCCTTTCATTGAAGAAAAGCTCAATCGACAAGCATATAAAGTCAAGCAACGCTGACAAATGGAGTTGCTCGCATCGGGTTGAAGACTTGGCCTTGTCGTTCACAGGCGGATGAAGAACGTAGCGTGCAATGAAGTGGACGAGTCAGGGCGAGCATTGCATCGAGCGTACACATTTGAGGTGAATGTATGAAGGACAAGTAACTATTGCTATTATTTTAGGTTTCAGATCAGTCTCCTACCGGCAAAAAGTTAAAAATACTACGCTCCTGACAATAGTTTGCCTATAACTTCACTGATCACCCTCAGTTTGCAGCATTCTCTGACATAAATATGTATCAGGTTGTCCGCTTCAGGTTTAACCTGTCCATGTGGTGCCACAGCATCACTATGCCTTCCCTCCCCTCCACTCTCTTTATTGTCTATCCAATGCAGGAGCCTAAGTGGTGGGCTCCTGTCCATGATAACTCGTCTAAATTTTATGCAGAGAAAGCCCAACTGATAAGAGACAAAAAGAAAAGATGTTAATTTCGTTCAGATGTTAAGTAGTTCGTAGTTGGCTGAAGTTGCTACGAAGTCACGTGAGATAGCACGCGGGAAACAAGCAGTCAGTTACGTTTGTTGGACTGACAGTAAGACCAGCTCTGTTCTTCTGGCCCCCATTTGTTCGAGGGGTGATAACACTATGTACTACCTAAATCTCTATCCTGTGGATAGCGCAGTACATTTTGTTGACAGTTTTCGAAGGATGGCGATAATCCGTTGGATAGCGTTAGCCGCCGTTTAAATAACCTGACCGTGCCCTTCGACTGGCTACATTTTCACGGCTACTGAAAGGAATATATTGCGTTTTTTGAATACCAGTGAGAAAAAAAATTAGGAGCTTTAATTGATTGATCATTTCTTGATCGAGAGAGACTACAACCTGGTGTTGTCTACTTCAGCCTCGAGATCGAACGTGAAGTTTAAAAACAGAAAGCTGAGGTTACCAACATTGTTTAGCTTTATTCAGTATCAATGTCTTCTTGTTTTCATCGAGAACTGTTGAGTAAGACACGCCTCTACAGTGGTCATCCTAGCATGAAATGCCTACAATGGAGTTGAAAAGGTAAAGAAATTTATAATCCAACGACGTCGAGGGTATCTCCATTGATTTCGTAGATTATCGCCAGAATTTAAACGTCAAAAGTTAACAAACACAGGCACGAAAATGTTGATCATCAGGGGTATTCTTCATTCCAAAATCTGTTAGTCAATCGTACGAAAAATTCCTTTACTGCGATGGCCGCAATCATTTACTCGTTCATTTTGCATGAACAGGAATGCTGAATTTCGACATTTTAACCTGGCCACAATCGCTGACTTATGGGGCTAGACGTTGGTAGGATTGTGGCATACTAAGAATCTGTGGCTTTCCTATGGTAGGTAGTTTCCGACGTTACGACCAGTCAAGACATAAGTTTTGATAGTAGCTCTTAACAAGATCTCATCTCCTTTTTATTCCCTACCTTCCACAAGCTCCATTTTATATCAGTATGTTCCTCACAGAATTGAAGTTCAGGTCAGTCTATGACTTAAAGTTAGTTTTAACTTTTAAATTGTTCTTCGATCATGTGTGAGCATCGATGCTTGAGTACAACAAACTATTATTTTGTATTTTTATTATTATTCATACTCAAATTTTCTATCGCATTAATGAGTTTCTTTCAAGAGATGGGGCACTAAATCTTTTTTTTTATTATTTTTCACAGAACATTTGTGACCCTTCGCGCTATCCGAAACAAAATATGAATTACTTTTAATTTTTAGCTTATGCCCGCCCAAGTTGCAAACATTTTAAGATTATTTCTAGTTGTAGCCTAGTCCGTCGATGGCTCAGTTGAAGAGAGTTAGGGATGTGGTGGCCAGGCCGAATCAGTACTCACAATCATTGGCTGACCGACTACTGAACACCGACTTTTGGACTTGAATACAGTCACATGAAGGTATAAGTACTAACTGTGGTGTAACTCCTATTAGAGTCGTTTGGAAAAGCGCGCGAAGAATTCATTTGTCGAATAATTTTCGCAGGATCGTACCGAGAAAGCGGTCACAGTCGAGGCATAAATCCTGGCGAGGAGCTTGTTAGGTGAACTACTATGATTTTGTTTTTGCTTTTTTTTTTGTTTTGTGTTCTTTGTCACACTTTAAAGGTAAAGGTTGATGTCTTTATTAAGTGGTTTAATTTTTTTTATATAAGGTAAGTATATATGACTTGTCATGTTCAGCTTCTGACCAAAGATTAGATTGCATCAGAAGACGATGGAATGAGTCAACGATGAAATAAAATGGCTGATCTTAAATGATAACTACATAAGTTCAAGTTAACAGACCTTTACCTCTCCACTCTTCAAGGGTTCATCCAAGCAGTGAACAGTGCTACTCTTGTCCGTTGTAAAGTAATTATTTGTTGGTGATTTTAGGTAAGTAATGCGCAGCTCAATGGCCAAGCAATTTCCCCGCGTAAGCGTTCTCAACTAATATTGAAATTCAAGCGCGGGAAATTTGTTAGTGGTCTTTTTTCTTTTGTTCTCCTTTTTAACTCTTGGATACGCGACAGCGTAGGAACGAGTCGTTGTGGGCACTTTGGGATATTCAAATTGGCGTGGACTTTCGTAATTAGTCTTAATTAGTCGGCCACGAACTAGAGATCTGTTCTTCCGAAGTAGTCCGAAGTCCTGGCGCCTTTGTGATTGTATCGATCGTCGCGATGTTTATTGTCTTCACGCGGCTGTTTCGATATTTACTAAATTGAAATGGACTTCTAATTTTTCAGATTAGTGCAATGATCAACCTAAAGACCAAATTTGAAGGATCTTCGAATTGTCCATGCGCTAAACGTAACGAGGAGCTGCGAGGATCACGAAGAGTTTGTGAGTCAAGAGGTGATGTTAACGTCACATATAAGCCAACAGGTAGGATTTATGTCAACGGACAGTTGATAATGAACTTGTTGGGTATAGGCATAAAATTCGAAATCGCTGATTCTTCGCAACAACATCATGTTTACGCAATATGCAGCTTGTACCTCTATATTTTTCCAAAGTTTATCCATCATGTGCGCAGTGCACCTGTAACCTATAAACTGAGAATTTACACCACAGTTCTGCTGGTAGAGCATATTGTTAAATGATGAAATTACAATTATAGTTAATCTACAATATCGTAAGGGTTTCCTTGTATTGGTGTCGGAAAAAGGAATGGAAATGTTATATTATTTTAAGTCATTTAAAGCAAATTATAAAAAGGGCAGGTTGATTACTTCTTACTCCTTCTTGGTGGTCTTATCTTAAAGGTTGAGTTTGGTCACGTTCTTCTTGTGAATTTGGTCACGTTCTCCCAGTGAGTTTAATCACGTTTTCCTCGTTGTGATCATGTGGTTGACATGGAACTCATGATAAGCCATGTTCCTAATTAAGTTAATTTGTTAGTTCAGGAAGAGTAAATCTCCCTGGTAATAGGTCGCGTTCGACACCTTCGTGTTCCCAGAGGTAATTTAAGGTGTAAACAGGTGATACCCCTCATGTTTCGCAACCAAAAGCAATTTGGGGGGCGGTACTTGTGAGCGTCTTCCTTCTTTAACTCTTGTGACCAAGATGTTGTTATGTAACAATCTTTAAAGGTGGTTTTCTCTCAAGATACCCTTTCAGGTATAAATAATACTCTGAACCAAGGTTATTTGTAATTTTTATATTATCGATCTCGTTTCTGTTCTGGCCGATCTCAACCGCAAAGATATGAAAATTAAGGTAGAAATTGATTTTGTAACTGCGTAAACAACTCGAAGGTGCATATTCAGTATGTGGGAACTGTAATACGTAGTCAAGCGTGATTCGCTAGTTGAGATGGTACGATGACGACACAAGAAGATTGACGGCTTAGAAATGTCATCCGCAGTGTCACCTTTATGAGCGGAGACTCTAGTTTTCCCTGTCAGATAGAAGCTAGTCCCCGTTGTATCAATTTGTGAAGAAAGAGAATAAAGAAGAATTAACCTACCAAACGACGAGTGTTAGAAAATTTACTTCTAACAATATTACTGCTCTAGCGGTGTAACTGAGTTTAGGATCAAGTCCTAACGCGATGAGCATGTAAATTTTTTTAATTCCTTTTAGGAATCCTAGACTGGGAAACTTGTCAATATCTTAAAATTGAAGCTCGTTTGCAGACAGGCTCCCCGCAGCTCAGTGGGTAGAGCAATTTACCGCGAAAGCGGTCTCAGCTAGGAATCCTTTCCTGGGGAACTTCTCAATTTCATAAAATTGAAGCTCGTTTGCAGACAGGTTCCCCGCAGCTCAGTGGGTAGAGCACATTACCGCGAAAGCGGTCTCAGCTAGGAATTTTTTCCTGGGGAACTTGTCAAGTTTTTTTTTCCTGTTCTTTTTACTGTATTTTGTCTATATTTTTTTCTCTTTTTCTTTCCTGTCTTGCTAACAATAAATGCTTGAAATCTTGAGTTTACTCTCTTTTTTTAGATAACGCAATGTTATTTTCGAATTGGTGGTATGTTAAGCTTTTACCAAGAGATTATAAAAATTTTATAATCTAATGCTTTTAACCGAAACTTTTAATTAGGAAACACTTTGAAATTTGCTAACGATAAATTGAGATGGCTGATAGTCAATAACAACTACAAATGTAAGTCGACAGACTTTAATTTCGCCATGCCTCTGGAGTTGATCCGTATACTTTTTAGATGTAAACTTAAAATTTGGGTTCGACTTCAGACAAGTTCCTCGCAGCTCAGTAGGTAGAGCAACTGACTGTGTTAGCGGTCCCAGCTGGGAATTAAATCCTCTGCGCGGTGAACTTGTCGATTGTTTTTATTTTGTTTTGCTTCGGTTTTTTTATCTTTTTGGCTTGTTCCTTTTTTTATCTTCTTTTCATTTCAGACCTTTCTGAAAATATATATTTTTTAATTTCTTCGAGTTCATGAAGAGTGTACGTTTTTCAAAAAACTTCACAATTTGCGTTAGTGAAAGTCATTGTTAATTTCGTACTTCTTCTACTAATTTATTTCATTATGAATTGTTTTGAGGTTTCTGATACGTTCCCCAAAGGGCGTGGAAACAAAAATTTTGTCATATTTGTGACGAAATCATCCCTGATTGGTTTGTTTCTCTATTCCATATTCATAGAAAATTCCAAATTTCTCGCAAACCAAACAGGTTGTGGACGGGTGAGGATGTGTTACTATGAGGACAGTTTTTACCAAGAACGTGTTTGAAGTTGGAACAAGACTGAAGTTGTCTGAAGGTGAGCATTGTGCTAAGATTTCAAAGTTGCTAGTTTCATTTTATTGCACTTAGTGTAAGAGTAATGAGCAAAGTTTCAGAGTTAGTGCGCTTTCGGTTCGCTTCATTCTTCGCCTTCCACTTAAAGCTACTCTCGAAGAAATGTCGTTTATTTTGTTAGTATGGCAGAGAAAACGGACACCAGTCTCTAGATGCAACAAATGCTGTGTATTATTTAGAAAGAGAGGAATGATTCATCTTTGTTTAATTTTAGAAGAAAAAAACGGCTTGGCACGTTTGCCACATCCCACGTGTTTCTGAAGTTTTATGGCACTGGTATGCTCTTCTAAACTCGCGGAGGAATTGTGTTGTACAATTTCGCAAATGTGTTTTGTGATGAAGCTCGTTAGTGTCCCTAAGACCATCGTTTTAGCGTCTCAAGTTCTACCACCTCATTAAACTCGCCCTTCTACTTTGTTTTTGTTAGATTATTTAAAACGTTCGACATTAAAAAACTCACCAAATACTCTTTCGCTTATCTCTGTTTAGAGGGAAAATGATTCATGGAAGAAGACAGCAGAATAAAAGAAATTCAAGAGGACAAACTGGACTTGATAATTGTGGAAGAAACTCTACAAAGATAAGAACTTTGAAATTATTTTATAATCTTAGCATAAATGGTGGCTGCCACAACTAAGTTATCTATTTCCTTAGGAACTTCAAACTATGGATAGTTTGTATGGATCTACGAAAGAAGTGTAGAAGACCTAGGAGTAGAAGTAATGTAGAAAAGAATGAAGTAAAGGCTCTGGCAGCCACCAACAAGAGGTGGCACTGTAAAATAAATTATGTCTCGAAGGAAAAGTCGGAAAATTGGGAAGGTTAGGGATATTGTCCTGTTATTTAAGTCACATTGCTTAACCAAATAAATTCAAACCTTTCGTTAGTTATAGAAAACGCCATTTTGCTATGAACCATTTTATTATTTTGGCCTTTGGAAGTTTACAAATGGAAAACAATGGTTTATTTACGGGTAATTCGTCTAATTTTTGGTCAAAACATTCAGTGCCACCTCAAGTTATTCAAACCTTTATTGCAATAATCATTTTGTTTTGCAACAGACAAGAGAACAAAGGTAACCCAAAAGCACATTGGTGAAAACCATTCAATAGAGTTTGTTTCATTGGGGTGAAAGAATTAGGTCATTTAGCTGTTGCTTCTTGGATATCAGTTTGGTTACTTTAACGATACTTTCACCGCCATGCGCAACGACTGATATCGACGAACAGTACGCTGATATAATGTTCACCAGACAAGTATAAGAGATGTTATCTCATCCTTTTAACTTGATTACGAATTGGAGGCAAACAACGCACCAAACAGTTAACTTTAAAAAAAAAACAGATATCAAAAACGTGATCACAACATAACTGATTTTATTGGACGAAACACCCACATTACCACTGACCGTACTGATACGAAAACAGCTCAACTGCTAGGACAACATTTACAAGACTGTGCGTTGAGGGCACGCCCGAAATTGACCCAACAAATATACGACATCAGTGACCGATGTTTAAGAAAAAGATTAATCTCAAAAGAAAATGTGCCGCAACTAATTGGAAATTTACTCTACACCGGAGAGCCAAACTCGTCACAAGACTAACTGAACATCTGCTAACCAACGACAGTGACTGAGACTCAGCTCAAACATTTGACATACAGCACCAACTATATTGATCGACTGCATTTGAACAACTAGTTCACTAGCGGACAATTCTCAACGAATGTCAGAATAGATTATATTATACGTACCTACGCTGAACAATAAAGGAACTAACTTCACTATGACATAGCAAAAGGAACAAATCGAACGAACTACACTGACTTATTTCAACAGACAAACGCTGATGACTCTCAACGCAAATGGCTAAAACATACCCCCATCACTTTTCAATATAAGTACTGGGTTTTCTGTTGAAACGAGTGTCAGGGGAGATCGATTTGCCAACGTTCTCTTGTCATTTGTCATGTTACAGCTTTAGTTCATAAAACCTTTGTCTGGTTCTGAGAAAGTATACAGACTCGAAATGGATCTTTAATACGCCAAATCATATGCACTGCATAGCTGAGAGAATTGCCGATTTTTTTGTGAAAAACTTTTTGCATAAAAAAAATTTAAATCAAAATTTCAATTAACGTTTCCTCGTATCTCGCGGAGACTACGAAATTTGTTACGATTTACTTTTCAAAACACAGTTCAGTTAAAGAGTTGTCAATAAACAAAAATATCCATGAAATTTCAAACGAAAGAAAAACGTGGAAGCCGTAAGTTATAAATACCTCAGTTTTTTCAGGTATTTAAAAAAAAACAGTTTGAATCTTAAAAGAACAGCAAGCTTGAAAGTTTAAAAGATCAAATTGTGTTTTTCGAGAAAGCACTTTTTTCAATTTTTTTTCCTTTTAGCTTTGCTTGCATAGGTCATTTCTCAACTCAATAAGCGAAAAGGAACGGAATTAATTGTCGACTGTCGTTATGATTTTGATCTGTAAAAATCTTAAAGAATTTTTCACTGAATGTAGCATGGTGCGCATGAAATGTCTATTCTAAATATTCTTTGAATCAGACATTAGGTGTTATGATACTATTTGTAATTTAGGAAGACCTCTTTCAGCCATAAATTAAATTGAATTGAAAAAAATGAGAATTTACTCAACCAGAATCTTACAACATTGACTTGCATACTAAGGCCAAGAAATCGCCTGATTGTCTTAATCACTTATAACCAAAAGCAAAATACAGTTAGCTTGGCCCATCAAAAAGAGAACGTGAAAGTTCATTTTGATTATAAAACATCACTTTCGTTAAACATCTGTTCGGTGAAAAAAAAAGGAAAAAAAAAATTATGGCTGAAAAAGATCTGGTTTGAAGCAACATGGCAAGCTTTAGGTATTTTGTGAGTCAAACTTGTATGCGAATCATAGCTTGCCGTGTTGCTTATCTTTAAATGTAATTTGTATACATCATCTTGTGCAAAAGAAAAAATATTTAAAGACAAATTATTTGGAGAGAAAATCCTTTCTTAAGATTTGTAATAAGTGAACAAGAATTTGGTCAAACGTTGTACAGAAATTAAAACCAAAGGCTATTCAAAAAGTTGCTTGAAGAAAGAATTGCACAAGGAGATGATTACATGAATTTTGGCGGAAAAACTCAAGGGAATCCATTTTGAATCTTGTGACGAAAATGTTGTCAGGGAAAACTCTGTGCAAATTCTACCAAATTTTCCCGCCAAAAGTCTTAGTATATATTTGAACGAATTTTTCTTCACACTTTTATGATTATTTAACTGAAGTTTAATTATCGAATTAAGGATTTTAATGTGAATAGAACAATTGTAAGACAAAATATTTTTATTATATTTGACTTGAAGAATTTCATAGATGAAAAATGAAGATAACGCAATAAAGAAATGAACATACAACACTATTGAGTTTAGTGACTTTCATTAAATAACAACGTAGAAATTAAATCTTAAATATCACTCGAAAAGAAAAAAAATAATCGGCGCATGCTTATTTTGGGCGCCTTTATTTTTTCGGCGGGAAAAATAACATTTTCTTGAAATTAAAAAAAAACTGGCGCATGCGTATTTTAAGCGCCCCGTATTTTTCTAAGTTTTTTGGCGGGAAAAATAAAATCTATTGAACAAATGTCACTAAGAAAAAAAAATTTCCGTTGAAAATTAACATGGAACGACGAAACAAAATTAGTACTAAAATCGAAACGAGGTTTTGGCAAAGCGAACGAAACAAATTTAGCGAGGGTTTTCTTCGACTTCAAGTTGAGCTCTTGTAAGATCTCTTTTCTACCTCTGCTTTGAACTTGTCTTGGAGCTGTAAAATATTCATCCACACGAACTTGTGCTTGATTTGAAGTTCAGCTTTCCACCATTAAGAAACCTTCAATAGAACGAACAAATACATCAACCATAACACGTTTAAGATTTAATAAACTAGCAAAGATTCGCCATCTGGTGTCAACGTCAAGTTCAGCGTACTGATTAATCAGTGCAAATTTCAAAATTTACCGTCATCCGAATATTGCTTCGTAAGCACACTTGCCAGGAAAGTCATGGAATTTTTCATACTCGTCTTCTTCGATTATCCTCTTCATTCTCATTACTGACAATTTACAAAGATAACAAAATGTAACCTGTAAATGCAGATTGCTGTGCGCCCGGTAAATCAAATATTCTATCTCTAGAAAGATGTTGAAATTTCCTTGCATTATGTGTGACAAATGCACGGACCAAAGAAGAATTCTGGCATCACAATTTTCACAACGTAAGTTTTGATTGTTTTAAAGGTGACTCAACTCTCCTTGCTATGAAGCAAAATTCATAGGTTCCTTCTTGCTCAGCTCAATTACAGTTCTTTGTTTAATTTTATTCGAACATAACAGCGACGTTTCATGCCAGGAAGCCTTAGCATTTTTTAACAGGATTTTAAAATTTGCGAAAAGATGTGTTTCCACATGCAAGAGTCGACCAAAATGCAAATCAGTTGATGCTTAACGTAGGAGGCGTCAAGGAATGTTAATTTAATAGTGCATTTTTGGTGTCGACGGGAGCATACTTTTAGTATTTGGTTTTTCAAAAACATAATGAAACTCATAAACTTTTGAACAAAATTAAATAAAATCACATTCATTAAGACTGCAAGCATATTACTTGAAATCTGTCTGAGTGCTGACTATATGCTTACTGATATACAACAAAATCATATAATCACATCCGTTTGGCTTCATCGAAGACTTGAAAGATAAAAGTTTCAAATGTAACATCTCCACATCAGTAAAACTCTCGTGAATACTTTACGAATGTTTTGCTTTGTTTTATTTTGTTTTGTTTTTCTCTATTAAATTTTTTTTGCCTCGGCACTAGCTAACAAATCTATACGGAGAAGAGCGAGTAACATCCAAGCAATAACTCTCGTGTATACTTTTTCATTTCGCACCCTTGATATTTTAAACAAATGTTTTGCTTTGTTTTATTTTGTTTTGTCTTTCTTTATTACTGAAAACAGTTTTTCCTCTTACAAACAAATCTACCTGAGGAAGAGTGAATAACATCCAAGTTCGCTTTAAACGTCACGCTTAAAATCGATATTTCTCCATGGTAAACTTAAATTCTAGATATTCTAAAAGACGATTGAAGGAAATGCAGCATAGAATACCAAGAAAAAAACAAAGAAGAAAATTAAACTTCTAAGCAAACCGTGATTTTCAAAAGGAACAAAATAATTCGTAAAAAAACATGAGCTATGGTCAAAAGCTCGTACATCGGGTCTCCACAATACTCTTCTGCTTAATTTGTGTTGCCAATCAGTTTTGGAAGCCAAAGAGAAGTTTTAAAGACACATCTTGTCAAAACTACTTTATGCTGATAGCGATCTGCATGTACTGTTATCCATCCAATTAAGATTTAAGAAGAAATTAAATAGTTATAACTATTTATTCAAAACAACCAACTCACCTTGTTAAGAATACGTTATGTCGCGTCCAGTCTGTTCACGTCCACCATCTGCCTGTCGAAAGAAGAATGACAAGTTAGAAAAGCAAGTAATGGGAGAGTTCACATAGTTTCTGCTGAAACTCATTTATTGGAATCTCACAACACGAATACTTGGTAAAGCAATCTTCAACTGAGTGTCAAAAGCGATCCGGAATTGCATTGCTTTCGTTTCACTACGCTCTATGATTGGTCAAGAAACTTCGCGCCAATCTCTTAACTTATCAGATGCAAAACTATAACCATTGCTGACTCAGTCACAGACGTTTTCCCGCGTTTCAGCCACATTGTTTGTATCTATACCGAGTTTTTATTGGCTCCCTATGAAAAATTTCGTTCTTCCGATTGGCTGTTGCGACTACTTTGGTTTCAACCGGTCAACCGAAAAACACTCCATTACGCTAACTTAATCAAGTCAAGTTCAAGTTTATTGAAAACCATTAACTTAACAAAGAATAGATTAAAAATATAGAATAAGTGGTGAGGAGACCTCAAGAAGCCCTGGGGCTTATATTAAAAAATTTCTCTAGTAAATTATCAATGAATTATAAATACCAGGTGGCAAGCTGAAAAGCATGACAAATTCTGACGACTGTTCGTTTTTATTTTTGTATTGTTTATTTGTTGACTTTCGTGGTTGTCGTTGTTGTTGTTGTTGTTTTGTTTGTTTGTTTGAATTTTGTTGTGTTTTGATTAATAATTGAGAAAATCAAGAGACTTTCTTTTGAAGGACGATCAACTATGAGAAGAGGTGACTAAAGGTGATAAAGCATTCTATATTTTTGGCCCTTGGTAGTGTAAAGTGAAATGTTTAATGTTCGCTTTACAGATGTGTAACCTTGCACTAAATAAAGATAAAACATCTTGATCACTGTTCCTGATTTAAACGGCTTAATAACCGCTTTTTGAGGTCTGCAAGATGGCAATGAATGAGTTCTAAGACAATACGAGGCTGGTGGGTTATCATAATCTCTCTCTCTTATAAGACTCAATACTCTCCAACGATCTTCAAATATTATGAATATAAACTGATCTGACATAGATATGACTCGATTAATGATATTTTACCTTTCCAGCATTGCTTCAGCCCTGATTACCTATTTTAATTACCAGAACAGGAATAAGATGTAGACATAAATCGACTGTATATCCCCTTTCTCCCCCCCCCTCCCTTCCTGATTTAACCCTTTAACTCCCATGAGTGACCAAGACAGAATTTCTCCTCACAATATCAATACCAAATCAAGAAGACAAGTGATGAGAACCAAGAAAAGTATCAATTAGGGGATTATTAGTTGATCCAATACCAAATTCTCAGATGTAACATCCGAAGAATTGTATAGCAGGCAGTAAGAAGGATTACTAATGAGATCTTGGGATTTAAAGGGTTAAGACTCATCCACAGGTTAGCCAACATTTAATCTGGTTATTAGCCTCGTCGATTATAAACATTTCCCTCGAGATTTCTTTGTTTTGAGCGATACTTCGGATGGCGTATTAAAGCTTACTTTTGAAAAAAAAGGAAATGAAAAGAGTATGTCGGTTACAGGTTCCCCCCCTACTTTCCTTCCCGATATGTGACTCTCCGTTTAAAAGCTTATCGCAAACCTCTCACGAAAATGTATCAGCCATGGTTTGAAGAGCGACAGCTTGTAGTGTAAAATTAATTGAGCCACTGAAAATAGAGAAAATGTCCCTGGCTGACCCTCTCTTAACCTTTCCATTCCCATGATCTCAACAGTAATCCTCTTTACTGTCTGCTATATAATTCTTATAACGTTACTTTGGAGAATTTAGTATTGGATCGTCTTATAGTCCCTTAATTGATGCTTTTCTTTATTCTCATCACTTGCCTGATTGATATTGTAGTGACATTGTAAGGAGAAATTCTGTCTTGGTCACTCATGGGAGTTAAAGGGTTAAACGATGCTGGTTGAGAATGCATTAGTGGTTTTGCCGCCTCTTACGTGCAAGAAAGCTTTCGGGAAGTTGCATGCGAAGCGATATCTTAAAACACGTGAATATACTTATTTCTTTCGTGAGCAAAATGAACACGTCTTTCTTACATACCATGAACAGAAACAAGCCATTTGACTTTCGTCTCCGCTTCATACCATGATCATGTTCACCAAGGTTGCCTCCAATTCCATCGGTTCGCGACTTTCCTTCCGAAGAACATGATTCAAAACTCCACGTGGATGAATTTCTATGTACTTCATGACAGGCAACGAGAAACCTTGGTATTCAAGAGCTGTGTTCGTCGAATTCTCATCGCAAGAACCTCAACTTTCAAACTCCTTGAAGATGTGATGAATCAAACTGCATTCTAAATGAGCAAAACGGAAAATTTGCAATGTAAATTAATTTAGTTCTTAATGCACGCGGGTATTTCATCAGCTACGCGAAAGGGAGGCACCGGTTAGGTTTAAAGAGACACGCCAACGAAAATTTTGCTTCAAATCAATAACGTTACGTAAAATATATTCTTAAGATGAAAGAAACCAAAAACTGTCCAAACCGCAGCTCGAAAGGAAAACCGCGGGGGAAGTTTTATTACGTTCTCTTAAAGAAAATAAAACTTATTAAAAAGTACAACAAACGTTCAACGAAAAATCAGACCTATGGGAGAACAACATTGGTATGAAGATCGAAACGCGCCAATGACAGCGCGCCGAAAAAAAAATTCAAAAGAAGTTGGACAATCAACCATATCAACATTTAAGTCAAAGGTAACAATTCGACCTCATCGCTTGACCATGCGTAGTAGTTAAACGTCCGGATCTGCCATGGATGACTTCTTTTAATTGTGGGACAATGATGCAGCGTTCGCTTTTCAAATTGATAATGCTAGTCCATCTGTGAACCAATCAAGTGCTCAGCGAACCAGTCAGTTAATTGATAAATAATGGTAATTAAAATGAATGGAGTGCAATTTGTCTGAAATCATAAACGTGTAAGTATGATTTCAGACCAAAATTGCAAGACACGAAGTTCGATTACCATTTTATTACAACCATTTTGAAATCGAAAAATTCAGTCACTCAGATACAGGATGTTTTAGTCTGGACAAATGTTTTATTGATCCAGTAGTGAGCTGGTTTATAGAAAGTTGATAAAGTTGTTTTTAGTTTCCTGCAATTTGATTGGTTTGTTCAAACAAGCGATTTTTTGAATGAAAGTGATCTTCGCAGTGATGTGCACTACTTAGGCAGTAGTGAAAATAAGGCCTGTACGGGATTTGAACCCATGTTAAGTAATAAGCTTGCAGTCAGTTCAAGAGTCAGACAATTAACCTTTAAGCCTACCATTCTTTAAAGGGGTAAATCTTCTACCATATACAACTACGGTTCCATAAATAAGTAAGACTTTCAATGGGTTTGTCTGTCATTCAGACAGTCAGTTGGTTAATCAGTAAGTCAGTTAGTCAGTCAGTTGGTTTGTCAGTCATACAGACAGTCAGTTGGTTAATCAGTCAGTCAGTTAGTCAAGATAAAAGCCTTTCCAATTGAAAAAAAAAACAGTCAATTCATGGACAAGCGTCACATCAAAGTTAAGAGTATCAAGTGATAGGTTAATGGTAATTACTTAGTCAAAAATTCCTGATCTTATGAAATTTTTTTTTGTAAAATTTACCATACTAAATCTTGTGTCACAGCTTCTGTAAATTCAAATCCTAAAATGGGAACCAACTTCATAAGGAAAGTTTCAGCCTGTCAGTCAATTAGTGGGCATATCAAGAAATAATCTTTCAGTCATTCATTGGATCAATCAATCAAGTGATAAATCCATCAGTTGGCCAATCTCTTAGCTAATGAAGTGGCACAGCTCTCAGATTGTCAATCAGCAAGCCAATCAAAAGCTTTATAAACCTAATGTTCAATAACTATAAGAGGCATTCAGTCTCAGCCACAATAATCAGGTGATAAACCTGTCTGTTACTCAGTCACATGAAAAGGGGTAAGTTTCTGAAGAAACTGTGGTGCTGCATGGAGGGGGGAGTATAACAGGGTAATTATGAAGTATCAACTGAGTTGATAACATAAATTGGTCATCCTGATGAGTTTTAAAGCTGACATTTTAAGCATTAGCCCTTCATCAGAGAGTAAGCCCTTGGCTCTGATGAAGGGCTAACGCTTGAAAAGTCAGCTTTTAAACTCTCCATGGCAACCAATTTGTGTTATCAACTCAGCTGATAATACTTAATTACCCTTTCAATCAGTCAGTTAAATAATCAGGTAATATGCACAGTAGTCAATTAGTTAACCAATCAGGTAATCTCTCAGTCAGCCAATTAGGGCCTGAAGTCACACTATGGAAATTAAAAAAAATTTTAAATGGCAAAGAATCTGTCACCCCATAGCAATTGCCTTGATTCTGAGGACATCGCCACTAATTGATTTATTTTATAAACAAACTGGAATTGACAGGAATTTCATTCAAATGTGCATACTGTACTTTCACCATGATGCATGGAAATTTCCCAATCACTGCATGCCCTATCCTCTTTCCAAATGAATTTCCAATACTTCAAGCCATTTTATTCACCTGTTCTGAACAGCAGATAAGCTGGAACAGACAGCTCTGATAGCCCTGGTTCACTTGAAATGGAGTCACAGTAACAGAAAACATTGTGAAAAAGGAGAAATATGTGAAAAGGTAGCACAGCAAACAGGGAGCTCTTGTGAAATTGTGGGTTGAACACAGTAATCAGCTTTAGAGCAAAGATTTGTACAAAACATCAAATTGCACCTAAGATTAGAAATTAGAACTACTTGGTATAGCGACAAATTTATTTATGAACTAAGATGAAGTATCTGATTAAAATAGACCATAAAGTTGGAAGAACATGTAAAGTGAAGGACGAGAAAAGTAACTGATTTACTTTGAGGAAATATATCTGGTCCTTTGATGCAGTGAGAGGCTGTTAAGTATGGAGAGAGACTGGCACAGAGTAGCTTAAGAACAAATTTAAAGGGAAGGGGGTGAGTGGAAATGTAATACAAAATCAATTATCTCCAGATTTCAGATAACTAGAGATTGAGATCTCTGTCATTGTCACTTCACTGTTTTTCACTAATTTCTGACTCATTACTAGGACAAGCTTAGGACAGAATTAAATCTGATTTACATACCATTAGGAGGGAGGGGGAAGGGAAAAATATTGCCACTCCCCATGCAGGGCGGGCAAGTAAGTAAATCACAGGTTAACCTCCAGACAGTTTACCTGCATCCATTTATAGTAAGGGTTAAGATTCTTACAGACCTCATACTCCAGAGTCTGGAGTATGAGGTGGCAACTAATTAATCCAAAACGAAAAGCATGTTACTTCTTTAGAGTGATATCAATATGGTCCATTCCTTGTAGTAGTGGTGTCTTGTCAGAAGAAGAATTTTGCTTTTGAACATAATCAGGGTAATTTAGTATTATCAACTGAGTTGATAATATGAAGCGGGCACCGTAAAAAGTTTAATTTCAGAGCTGACGTTTCGAGCTTTAACCCTTTGTCAGAGCGAATGATGATGAGCTCTGATGAAAGCCTAACGCTCGAGACGTCATCTTTAAAACTCTGCGGTGGCCAATTTACATTATATCAACTCAGTTGATAATACTAAGTTACCCTGTTACACTCTCCCACCGATGCAGCACCTCTGTTTCTTTAGAGACTAACCCCCTTACATGATCAGCCATGTATGATCAGTTAACTCTCCCAATTCACTTAGTGTAGTAGTAGACTAGTAGCAAAATATGGGTTAGAATTGGTTTGAATACCAATTTCTCTGATTGCTCAGAGCTAGAGTTGTTTTGCATAATATGATGATCACAAGAATAATAAAGAAGTCTACAGAAAACAAATGGAGGAGGGGTCAAATGGAAGGCAAGCAGGTCCTCAGAAAGTAATTACCCATTTCCACACTCACCTTCATGACTCGGTTTGAATCAGAGCCACTGTTTCAACACGAGCTTGTTCTTTGTGCATTTCTTTTTTAGTTTTGTTTTGTATTTCGTTAATCCTTAAAAATATTTACCTCCAAGGAGAAACGTCCATTAGCTTGAATAGCAATTTTTCTGAGCCGTAGATCGATGACTTTTGGACTGCCGCAAACGCCGCCATGTTCTTTTTGAAGTTTATATTAAAATCAGTATACAGGACCGGACTCATTGACTACGGGTCTGGGATTGTTAAAAAGAAGAATCCCAATTCATTAGACCTCTTCAGGACAGGGAATATTTTCGGTAACGGAAGGTTTCTGCGAAAGGCGTTTCACGAACGAAGGGACGCTGGTTCCAAAGAGTTCAAGTTATCTAAAGTTTCGACAAACCGTCTTTATAATATAGCGTGCTAGCCCTATATAAGTCCTATTGAGCCGCTATGAACAAAGTCTTTATTTACACACGCCCGTGCGTAAACAATATGACTTGAGCATTTTTTTACCTGGCTTCAGAGTTTCCGTCTTGTTAAGCTGTAGTGCAGTTTTCCTTCTCTTTGAAATATGGAAGAAACCAGCGAAGAACTGCCTAATTTTTCTATCGGCATTGACCTTTTAGGTCCTGATCCAACAAGCAACAAAAATAAAGCCGAAAAAAACTCGCAAGTTGCAAGTTTCGCAAATTTGTTGATAGACCAGCTGCAGCAAATTTTGCTTCTTCGCGCAGATCCTTGTTGTCGCTCTGTTATAGAAGAATTTGCTCACGCTTTTAGCTGTGCGTATATAGAGTTATGGATGCACTTGAGAAGTTTGGAGAGCACTCATAAAGCTAGAGTTGCTCTCGGCTGCGCCTCGAGCTACTCTTACGCATTTTTCGTGCTCTCCAAACTTCCCGCGCGCATCCATAACTCGATCATACGCACGCTAAGCATGAACAAATTCTTAATTTCTGTTCGTCATTGTTTCTTTAATTTTATCTACCAAGAAATCGTGTGTAAGGGTTTTATTGAATTTCTTGTTGTTCTTGCGACCCACTGAAGATAATTTGTCAAAAAATCATCACCAAAATTTCAAGAAAAAAACATGAAATAAAGAACATGGCAGTCCACTGATGAAACGATGGACGATTTCAAGTCAACGTAATACGACACTTTCTTGGAGGATTGAGGGTCTTCAACAAGTAATATTTCATAAATTTAGGAATAAATTAAAACATTAGACTTGTTTTCTGAAGCAAATTCTGCGTTCTCGTTGGTCTACGAACTCGACCTACACAGGAGAGAGATTACGCATAAGAAAACAAAATTTGGTTGCCAATCACTGATGAATTCTTGATAAAAAAAAAAAAAAAAATTCAGTACAACACACACACACACACACAAAAAAAACCTTCTTACAAAGTAATGATGTTGCATTCTGTACCAAGAGAGTGAAGACCAATAGACAAGAAAAGCTGAAATACACGCCACCCATTGCGAAAATAAAGGACTTGGCTCTTAAACCCTAGTAAACTGTTGTCATAGCATCCTTCCCAAACCTCGATATCCTCTTCTTCTTTAAAATAATCTAATCGTTGAATAGAGACATTACAATGCAAGCGCTGGTCTTTATCAAGCCTTAACACCCTCGAGACAAAATGTGATGGGTCGTGTAGAACAGATATGCACGGCCTGGTAGTTTGGGTTCCAGTGAGATCTCAAATTAGCTACAATGACCCACAAGGTCATATCGTCGAACAAAAAGAGCCCTTTATTAGAATTGTTGTGGACGTGTCTTAAGTTCAAGTTTAATCAACAGTACCAGTAGTGTTTATATACACCCTACTTCACTCACTCATCGGTTGCAGTTTGATCGGTTGTGGGAGGAGAAACAAATCAGTACGCTGAAGAAACGAAATCGAACGCTTATTTCGTACGGTAAGTAAGTAATCATGTCCGTGAAGTTTAGCAGGCGTGCCGACTATAACTCGATTCGCGTCTGTTTGTGTTGCGAGCATGACACGACTGTTAACTCTATACTTACCGGCAGTAAATCTTAACTCAAGATCTGTTGGAGCGATTAAATGCAAAATGTTTCCGTAGAGTTAGCCTATAAACTCTATTGCAAATCAGCGACGGTGTTTAGTCAACTTCCATACCGCCACCAAGATTACTGTGCCCTTTAGAAAGAGTTCCTATTAACGCGATCATTTGCAGTTGATGATTTCCTTAGGGTATTTTTAAAACTCATCCGTACACAAAAGGTGACAAAACTAACAAGGAATTGCAGTTAAAGCGCCAGCCATTTTCCGTGAGTTTATTCCACGCTCGAGTTACTTTATAACCTTCATGTGCATAACTTAGCTCGTTGTGACGAAAAAGTACATATAGTTGATCACGCGAACTGAACATTTGATAGTGAACGCCAAATCTTTCTTCTTACATAACGAAAGCATGAATTTTAAGTTCTTAAATCGAGAGCAAACAATCAAAAAATGCTTTTTTTCTGAAATACAATTAGGCATGTACATGTTTGATTCGACGAGTTTTGTTCCGTTTACCGAATATTGCAGACATTATTGTGACATGCAAATACGAATATGGCAGTTAAGAGGCAGATAGGGTGACAGATAAAGAATTTCATTACCGCGGGTTAGTCCAGACAAACAATTTGTATTATGGCTACAGGGAGGTTATGTACATGAATGGACAAATAATACCATTTTAAGTAATCATCAGTAACGCCTAGAGAGATACACAATTCTCTCTTGAGAATTTTTTTAAGCATTTATATTCTTTGGTATTTGATTCAATTTTTTCCTTAAGAGCAATTGATATTACGATAAAATCCATTTTGCTTTTTGTTAGACATATTTAATCCTAAAGTCCCGTCTTTGTAATTAATTGGCTTCAGGAAATTTCGGCCTGATTACTTTCGTTAATAATGCTCGAAAAGTTTCAGTTACCCAGAAGATCTCAAGATAATTCGATTGGCTTTTAAAAACATTTTCTATTGTAATGCCGAGACTGAAGAAGGTCATGGCTTTCAAAACACGCCAAACGCCAACAAAAAGCTAAATTCCACGTAAGAGCTTGACATGCATTTTCCTGTTCATAATAAGCGAAACTGGCACGACCGTGAGCTTAACGTGTGGTTAAAGCGGTAGGACAGAGCTATTTCGGTGCGGATCATTTTGGAAACCAGCATAGTGCCGGCTCAACAGACGAGTCTTCTTAACCTCTTTCTTTTCCTTTTTTTTCTGCAAAAGAAATGGCAGCTCAGGTTACTTTGCCATGGTCCAAATTTAGCTGAGGCCAATGACGATGGGAAAAAGCGCACTAAATCATGAACAAAATTCAGAATTTAATCTAAATACTACCATAAAACTTGCCTCAAAATCTGCGTGCAGTCGATATCTGAGTGCAGAAAAAGCGCATAAAAAGGAAGCGTAGGCATTCTCTTCTCAAACTGTTCACCAACTCAATTTCTGCTCATTAGCTTGTGAACAAGCGCATTGAAGGTTGACTTAACCACCCCCCTCCCCCTTAGTCACGCCTTTTTTGGCTTTTCTCTTAATTCTGGTGTTGTAGAAGAGAGAGATACCAGTGGTTATAGGGCTAAAATCTGGATCGAGAGCTCCGCTTTCCAGCCTTTGCCTCTAGACTCCCAACCCTTGCCCACAATCCCCACTCAGGGTTATGCAGGCTCAGCGTGATAGAAAAACGATGATTTTGGGTCGTGAGCGTGTAGAATAAGGTTACAGATCAAAAACGCCTCTCTGAGCCTCTTCGATCTAAAGAATTATTATCTCCTATTGAAATCGAAGTAGTTTACTCCATCTCCACATTTCCTCTGATCGTTAGACTTTGACATGATGAGCGGAACTAAGGACAAGGGAGAACTGTTGATTATAGCTAATTTGGCTGAGCAGTCAGAGAGATATGATGGTAAGTAACCCATTTTATTTTCCGTGCGTGTTTTACGAGATTATTTCAGAAAAGCCTCGTCAGTTTAACCTTTTCTACCCGGGAGGGGGG